CCATGTACGGCGGCAACCGCGTCAAGAGGAGACCCTCCCCGTACGAGATGGAGATCACCGACGGTGAGAGCTTTCTGCCCGCGCCTGCGGTCGCTGCTTCTGGGTGGGGGGGTTGGCTGTGGGTTGAAGTGGGTAAATTGCTGCACGGTGCTCGGAGCCGGAGATGAAACCCCAAATCCTAACGGGAACAGAGGGTCCCGGTGATGGCACGGTAGCTCGCCCCGCTCTGGTTAGGGTTCCTGGGTAGCAGAGCCCGGATCCGTCCCAGCTACCGGCCAGCAGCGCGCTCTACGCATCTGCTCTCACTCAGCAAAGCAAGTCAGCGCACGGGTAATTACATCCCCGTTCTGCAAATTGCTTTGAGTTTAAATCCAAAGGAACCACTAAATTTAAGTCTTTGAAAGTGCAAAGGCTGAATTAGGGCCATTGTAGCGACATGCTGTGTTTGCAAACCCTTTCAGCCAAGAGACATTCATAATGCAGACCACAGCCTTTTGTAGGAAGATCCAAACTGTCTTTAAATTGCCTAGGAGCAAAAGAATAAGCCTGTGCTAAGCTCTGCGGGGCCAAAACTGAATAGTGGCTAGTACCTTTGCTAGCTTGTCTGAAGCCTGATTCAGTATAACCAACGCAGTGCTGCAGCCTGCTGAGCAGAAATAGGCTGCGTGGGCCCGGTCTCGTGCCAGAGCCCGGGACCAGGAGCAGAAGCTGATGCTGACAAGTTTGGTGTCCGAGCAGGAAGCCCGGGCTGGGGATCCCCGGGGATCCCTGTCAGGCTGGAAAGATAATTTCAAAGAAAAGAAGACAGTAAAAAGGCAGGATAGGATCCTGTTACCTTTCCCAAGCAGCCGACTCGGTTTGCAGGAGTCTCCGCGCAGGAGGAAGTGCTGCACGTGCAAATGGGTACATGCAAGAACAATTTGCACGTGGAAGACTGACACATTTATCTGCAGCGTTAGCAGTCCATACAAATGAGATCCATCGAAGCATTTTCTCTTTAGCAATTGTAAGTGGTGTATTTCAATCACCAAGAGCCAGACAATTCCCTCTCTCCTTTCACCTTGCTCTCCCTTTCTTTCTACCTAGTTAATCTAAGGTCAGATCAAATTGTAATCCACATCATTTTAAAATAATATAGTATGAAACTGTGAGCTCTTTGCATTTTCTGTGTACATCAGTCTTTCTGTTCCCACTTTCTTCTGTCTGTCTGGTCTGTTTAGACCGTGGGGCAGAGGTTGTCTCTCACCGTGTGAAAGTACAGCACGTAGTACAAGAAGGTCTGCTTATCTTGGTTTGGATCCACATACTTAATGGTTACAGCTTAGGCTGGGAAACCAGAACACAGCGGTGTCCACCAAATCATGGTGTCTGACTAAAGCTTTAAACCTACCTGCTGTTAAATTAGGTATTAAGGCTTACAGAGATGGTGTGTAACCAAATTGTCAGACAGATGGCTGGATATGTGCTGGCCAGGTAGTGGATTAGGTGTAGAGATTGGGCCCAATCCTGTAGATCGTGTGTCATGTGAATTCACAAGACTAGGAGAAGAATTTGAGGGGGAACAATAGGTGATGCTTCCCAAAAAGGAGCAATAGGTAGGGCTGTGCGTCCTGTGCTGAGACATTTGCACAGTCTGCTCTGATCGTGAGCTGCTGAGCGGCGAATGCAACGCAGCGGAGCCCCGCTCCTGCGGGTCTGCTCAGGTTTCTTAGTGCTCAGGAGAGGCAGGAAGGCTGGGGAGTCTTGCCGGGTGCTTGGTGCTCTCCTATCAGAAAGGTAATTGGCAGTCCCCGTGCCTGGGCTCAGTGCTGCAGGGGATGGGGACAGCATGCCTCGATGGGCCCACCTGCCACCTCTGCCAGCCGGGATGGTGGCTTATTCCAGCACTTAAGAAAAGAGCAATAACTCAAGGGTCTGCTGGTGGACTGGAAATGTCTCGGTGGTTTCTTAGAAGGCAGCATGTCACCAGTAGCATCACAGCAGCTCCTGCTGCACATCGGGCACCCTGCTTGCACCAGCTGGCTGTGCTGCTTCCTCTGCTCCTCCTCCTTCGTTACCTTAGGAGAAACAGTGCTGGAGCCTTTAGAAAAGGGGCTAAAGAAGGAAAAATCCTGGAACTCCACCACTAAAGTGAGAATAAGTCCTGAAGCCAGGCTGAAAATTCCTCTGTAGGAAAAAGAGTGATGGTTTGGGCAAGTGTTTTTTTATCTGTTTTTGGAAAAGTTTGGTCCGCTGAATAAGTTTGCAAAATACATATAAATAAAGTCACAAAAATATAGAAAAATGTCTGCAGAAATATTCTGTAACTTTGGAAGCTCACCTTTTTACTAATTTTCCTTGGATCTTTATCTGCAATTTAAAAAAATATCAATCAGAGCAAAATCCAGGCAAAAATTTTTTAAGGCAAATGCTTGGATTAATTATGAAACAAGTTTCATTGTGAGGAAAAAATGTCTTCTGTTGTAACATAGACAAGCTATGAAGCATTTTGAATTTCTCCATTGCTTGAAATGTTTTGGTCAGACCCTCATCTCTGCCTAAAAGATATATTTTAATTCAGTTACTGGCTTTGGTGCAGGAATCAAAAATATTAGTAGTATCAATTTATGTTATGCACCAGAGTTTATTTTAGGTTCCCCTAGATAAAAACAGACAGGTCTTTCTTCTGATTTCAATATTTATGAATAAATTAACTTCTAATGAATGAAGTATGTAGTTTGTGCCTGTGAAGACTGAATCGATCTCCTGAGATTTTTGAACAACTAACAGTATCTGAAGTTTTTTCTCATACCCTTTCAAAAATGGGTAAAAAGATTTAAAGTACATCTCCCTCTAGATTCAAGGCTGACTTCTCTTTTCGCTGGAAGGAGTGTTTAAGTGTTGAAACTATTGCATTATTGTAGCAGATTGTAGCATGTTCTCTAACTGTGCTGGGCAACCTGCTGTAGCTGGAGCCCCATTAGTTCCCCCCCCCCCCCCCCCAACCCCCCG